TCTTAGTTTCTTAGCTTTATATATTGGTTGGGAATAAGATAATAGTCTAGAAATATGTATTAATGCTTTTTTTCATCATTTTACAAAATATCATTGCATATTTCCACATATTTCATAATATTTCCACAATGTCTCCAATTTTTACAATATTTCCCCTCGACATTTCCGATATATGTCCTATATTTTGGTAAGCGACATTTCCATGGACATCGACATTTTAAACCTTGGGAAGAAAGGAATAGTAGGATCTTTTTGGAAAAAAAAAAAGCAAAACAATATAGGAAGTGATTGACAGCATCAAGGTGAAAGTAGCTCATTGGGTAAAATCTTTGGACAGTTTTCAAGTCTTCTTAGTGACAAGCATTCTAAGAACCTAGTCTAAAGTAGCACAATCCTCGAGAGTGAGAGATAAAGTAAGGCTGGAGTGGAAACCACCAGAAGGAAATAAAGTGAAACTAAACTTTGATGGGAGCTCCCTTGGAAATCTGGGAATTTCAGGTATAGGAGGAGTAATCAGAAATTCTGAAAGGAGGATACTAGCTAATTCTCAGGACCTATTGGCATGGGGAATTCACTGAAGGCTGAACTTTTGGCATTACTACAAGGTCTGAAGCTGGCTAAACAGATGGAATACAGGCATATTGAAGTGGAAGGGGACTCAAAAGTGATCATTTCTTGGGCTGCACACAGTAGCCATACCCGTGGACATTTAAACATGTAATTAGGGACGTGGAAAAGATTGCAAAGGAGGTTGGAGCTGAATTTAAGTGCAAATGAGCTAGCTGATTATCAAGCAAAACAAGGGGCATTGAGACAACAACTATTTTGGGCTGCTTTGTAATGAGGGACAGAAAAAAGAGTGATTAAATGGGATCATCAATCCCATCACCAAGTTGTATAAACTATTCCCAATCTGAAATTTAAATAAAATTCATGCTTACTGATAAAAAATGATTAAATGAACAAATGGAACTGATGCAGCAGAATGCACTTGTTTAGATCAGTTTGAGCCTCTTTGGAGGCTCAAAAAGAAGCTAACAGATGTAAAGAGAATGAAAAAATGGTACGAGAAAGACTTTTGTCCTCATTCTTGTCTTGAAGGAAATTTATGGGAGAACTAGCAAAAACTGAACGTGGAGCCTACTTAGTTTCTGTTATTTTGAGATTGCTATTTATGGTAACTTTCAGAATTACAATTTATAGTAATTCTCATAATTACTATTTCGGCAAATTTCTTAAACTAAACTTATGGTTTAGCTAATTGACTAAGTATATCCCTACTGTTTGACTATTGTCTAACACTACCCCTACTGTTTTCTAACAATTGACTAGCTCTACCCTTATCGTTAACATCTGTTAATATTTCGTCAAAACCCGTACACACGTGACACTACGTGACTTTTAAAATTTTTTTAAAACCCAATATTTCCCTCGTCCCCTTCCTCTCGACTGGCACCCCCTTCCTCCTTCGACCTCTCTCTCTCTCTTCCCTCTTTCATTCTCTTTCTTCCCTCCGTCTATTTGTGTAGGATAAAAGAATAACAACAGCTCTCACAACCATCGGTAGAGGTGGAGATCTGCATCTTCAATCATCGTCAGTTGCTATAAAACACTCAGCCACAGTGAAATACTGTTAAATACTGGATCAACAGTAGCCATCGGCAGTCATTCGTAGTCGTCATTCACCGAGCTCAACCCCACCTTCGTTCAAACTGGATCAGCTATGGTCACCATCTTCAATTGATGGTTCGTCTCTGTCCCATCTTCAATAGTGGAGGTCACATGGCTATCAGATCTGCAAGAATAAACCACAGCAGATGGAGCCACCAGAGAGATCGACGGCAGAGGAGAAGAGATCGTGAAGACCATGTCCGAGCTGGAAAACTCCTCTCCTGCTGAGATATTCTCTCAACGCTCTTTCCTTTTCTTCATCTCTATAAGCCCTAGATGAGATCACTTCTCTTCACAGAGGAGAGAACTGTTTTCAAAGGGATTTAACAGAAGGGTAAAATTGAGATTTCAGCCCTTCTGTTAATATTTAATGGCAATGATAATTTTTTAAAACAATAAGGGTAGCGTTAGACAATAGTCAAACAGTAGGGTATACATAGTCAATTAGCTAAACCATAAGGATAGTTTAAGAAAATTTCCCTTGCTATTTTTAGTAAGTTCACGGATTACTATTTTTAATAATTTCTGATGTCTTTAAATTGGAGTAGCTTTAGTGGGATTAAAAAAGTGTTATTAGAGTTGTTTAGAAGTTGGAGTCCTTGTTTAAGTGTCCTTATGGGTTACTTATGGATTTGTCATAGTATTGAAACAATAAGGAGTCGTTTTGGGTTAATTTACTAGTCCAAATTGGAGTCTGAAAGGGGAAATTCGAGTTAATAAGTTGAGTCTATAAATAGAGTCATTACAATTGAAGTTCAAGAAGAATGATTTGATGAAATAAAGAATGGTTAGAGAACTCTGGTTGTTGCCAGAAACTTTTCTCTTTTTCTCCCTTCTCTCTCTCTTATTTCTTCTTCTAGGCAATCTATCTCCTTGCTGTTTACCCTGATAGCAAGCACTCTACTTGCTTCTCCATCCATATCCTTCATCTCTAATCACCCACAACCCCTCATTCACCATATAAAGCCCATCACCAGATCCCAAATTAGTAGAACCCCTAGCCCATCCTACATCCGGAACTGAAGAAGAGATGTGGAGAATGTTTTGTATAATAACATAGATCTCATTTCTTATACTCCCCAAGCTTTTCTTGGGTAATAGATTTACAAACAAGGAGATTTATATCTTAAAAGTAGCAAAAAAGAGTTTCTTTGTTTAGTGTGGTGCCAGTTTAATGGGTGTTTGTCTTCTCTTTTTTTATCTGGGTTGATCAATCTTGTGTTCCCCTTTTCTCCTCTGATTTTTTACCAGTAACAGAATTGTATTATTGATCAAAGGTATACAAGTTCATAAAAGGAAAGAAAATAAAGAAAAGGAGGGGAAAGGATGCAAATCCTACTTTGCAGAAATAGAAAAAGTATAATATCAAAAGAACACCTTGTTTCCTTATCAACCTTCATTCTCCACAGTATGCCCACATAATTCTGTCCATTTTTTTTCAGATGCCTCTTCCACTTTGGCTGCTTAGTCACTTTGCTATTTGTGCTGTTTGAGTTTGAAATATTTGACAAGTTGAGTTTGTTGTTCGATGAAAAAAAATGCAAATTGCCTATCAAAAAAAAAACAACACATTCCAAATATTTTGCTCAACTCAACCTTTTTTTTAATCAACTCTAACACATTACCTAAATATGGCCAAATTTTCTAGCATGTCTAAATTCTGGTTAGGGTTTTTGGTGTAGAACGGGGTCTTGGTGTAAATCCTTTTTGGCTCTATCTTGAGTGTATATCTCTATACTCCATTGTAAAGTGGGGTCTTCTGCCCTTTTTCCATACAGATCATTAGTTCACTACATATTAATACAATTACACCATTTATCAAAAAAATGGTTCATTTTTCTACCCATGTCTAAATCAAGGTCAATTTTTCTAACCCCAACCCAGTCATCAGTTAAATCCACACATTAACAAACTCACTCATGATGAACTCCTTCCTGCTTCTACTCCATTTCCACTCCCAATCTTCTTGGTTAATCGCCTTCCTGGTATATCTATCAAATTTAAATAAATAAAGTATATCCAAACAAATTGATGAGAGTTATCCCAAGGTTTAATATGTTTAGTTTCCAAAAAAAAAAGTGGGACACAAATGCTTGTCCCTTTAGAGATATAGAAACAATAAATTGTTGCTGGTTTGAAATTAAAAAAGAATGAGATTTTGGAAGAAAAGCAAAATGCCAGGCATGTTCCCCTTTTTCACACACACAATAATACCCCTGGCCACCACCCATATAAGAAAAGCATAAAACAGCAATAAGAATAAACTATAAAGTTATAACAGCAGCAGTAAAACAACAATGAAAAATATAAATCTAAAGAGATCTCTCAACACAAAGGAACACAAGGATTTATATAGCCAATTAATTAATAAGAAAATATGAATGCTAAATTTAAAACAGATTATATTGGAATAATCAAGTACCACACCCAACAGTAGCAACATCCTCAAACAAGAGAATGAATATGCAGAACAAAGAAAAATACAATAACTCAAAATCTATCACATTGGCCTCAGCTCTGACATGTATTGACACAAAAATAGGAAAAACATTTAATGTGGTAGCTTGCAACTTACTAGAATTGACATCAAATTAAAAGGGGGGGGGGGACCACATGTATGACACAAACCAGATCTAAGGCAATGCAGTCATCAAGCCATTGCACAGTCCGATCCACTGAAGTCCTGTTTCTCTTTTCAGAAGTCCATGCAGGCACTTCATCTGCCAAACTAGCCCATATATTTGGCTTCAATGACGAAATCATCTTCATATACTCCGCAGGTTTTATCTGCAGAGAAAATTTTAGTTGAGAAAGAAGCAGCCAGAAAGCATTACCAACATTCGACACAAGGTGTCTCAAAGGAAGCTCCAATTTTGTTGGTGACATCACAATTGGGAAGGCAAAGAAGAGAATCTCTAGGAACAGCTGCAATGCTATACCTATGCAATCCTAGCATCTGGTGCAAACCTCCAATTTTTTAAATAGCTTTTAGAGAAGGACATTCCAAACTGCAGATCCATGGTTGCAAACAAATTAGTAGGCTTTAACTAAATATATAAATTTTGAGAGATGGTAGTAAAAAATGAGTATATGCAACTCTTAAATACCTCACCTACAGACATTGTAGGACCCATTACCCATGAAACCCATGACTGATTTTGTTTTGTAGTGTCTTTTCATAGGTCCCACTATGCATGTAGGACAAGGTATCCAATAGTAACATGATAAGAGAACATGATATTATGTAGAACCCCCACCCCAAAAAGGCCAATATATATTACTGAATATAATATTATGTACAATTATATAAATGCCCTTGTAGGGCAGTAATAAAAAATATGAAGATAACATGATAAGATTCAACAAAATATAATCAACATGCATACTTTACTCCCAAATTCTCTACACCCCCTCAAAAGGACATAAGCATCAGTTTGTCAACAATAAGTGTGCAACTTGGGCAGGCCCAACCCGGACCGACCCTGCCCACAATTTTACATGGGATGGGCTTGGACCCAAAAGTTTGAGTTGGGCTGGGCTTGGTTTTAGCCTTTAGGTAGTCCAAGCCCAACCCGAGCTCAACTCAATTATATACATGTATATATGCATATATAGACACATTTTGCATGCATACATGTATATATATACACATACATGTATATCAATTTTTAGTGTGGGCTGATTGACCAACCTGAGCCCGAGCCCAACCTGAGTGCATCAAATTTGAGTGTGGGCTTGAGCTTTAGGCCTAATTCTTAGGGTTGGGCTTGGGTTGTCCTAAAACTCGGGCCGTCCCATCCAATTCGCACCCCTAGTCAACAAGAAAGATGTGTCTGGATTGATTCATAGCCTTGGTGAAGATGTTTGTAATCTACATGTTAGAGGTTATATGTGGAAGAACTATCAAGAAACAAATTTGATAAAATGAAAGTTCACCTCAATGTTTTAAGTAAGGCTTCTCACAAAGTGTCAAAAACTGACCAAACTGACCAGACCGACCCAACTCGATCCAATGTGGTCGGTTTTTAACTTAATTTGGTCAGTTTTGGTTTAGAAAAATGCATAACCCGACTGATCGATTTGGTTGCGGGTTATAATTTTGTAAACCAAACTAAACCGACCCAAACTGACCATATGAATGATGCTTTCATGTCCTAGTTCAATCTTTTCAAAAAGAAAAAAAAAAAAGCAAAAAAGACAAAAGTCTTCTTATGAGATAACATGCAAGAGGGTGGAAATGTGAAGTCTAATCTGAGTCTTCGGCCTAGCTCTCAGGTATAGTACGGCAAGTCTAAAGTTTTAAATGCTAATAGGACAATAATAAGACTCTACATCTATTATGTATTATTTTATTACTTTTTCTTTTTCTATATGTATTATATTCAATTACTTTTTCTTATTTTATTGTGTTTTGAATTAAGTTGATTTGTATATGGAATGATAGAAAAGAATAAAATTTCTTGGGTTGTGGGCTTTAAGTCCTATCAATAAAGAGGAGGAAGGAGGTCTTGGTTGAAACCGAACAAACTGACCAACCGATAGTTTTTATTGCAAGTTGGGTTTTTATTTCTTTGGGTCGGTTTTGATTGATTTGGTAGTCAACCCGATATAGTCGATTCAGTTGACAAAACTATGTATAACCGAACCGAACTGACCCATGTACAGCCCTAGTTTTTAGTTCTCTCATGAAATATAGGATCAGAAGCAATCTTGGTTGCACTAACTGTCATCATAGAGAGGATTAGATGAAGGAAGATCAACACCAAATTTAGTAAAGAGAGATTATAGTCAAATGATCTCACTACATACAGATGACGTAGCCCTATACTCCGCTTCAGTAGATGATTTAGAGATTATTTGTTGCTTCTTGCACTAAGCAACTCCATCTGCTAAGGTGTACTCTAACAAATCTGTTAATATTGAAATTCTCCTTTGAATTTGTCTCCCTTTGAGTCTGAGTAGAGGGTACTCACTTGAATATTGGAAACACTTCTGACTTCCATCTAAGAAAAATATATCCAAGTATACGTGATACAGTCATCAATAAACAATATAAAGTACTTGTATAATTTTATCACCACTTGGAGTTACTCCTAAGTTCCTATGAATGGCTTCATTTTTTATCCTATCCTTTCTAGAATACACATTTCTGCCACACTCTTTTTGGACATGTTGCTTCTTGATTGCCCAACACTTTGCTCCATATAGCATAGCTGGCCTTTAACTGTTTTATAGAATTTTTCTTTTAATCTAAGTGGTATTCTCCTATCACATAAAACTCCAAATGCACTCCTCCATTTTCCCATCTTGCTCTAATTCTATGGGTGACATCATCCTTAATCTCTCATTGGTTATGAATTATAAAACTGAGGTAGCTAGAAAGCTCACATTGAGTTATCTCTTGGTCTCCCTAAGTGTTTGATTTGCACTTCTAATATTATTAAATTTACCTATCATATTTTTTGTTTTAGTCCTACTTATTTTAAAACCTCTTGTTTCTAATGCATTTACCTAGGGGTGAATTTGAGCCGAGCTGAGCCGAATAGTACCAGGCTCGAGCTCGGCTCGAGACTATTCTACAAGGCTCGAGCTCGAGATCGAGCTCAGTTCAAGCCAAAACCTTAAGCTCCAGCTTGGCTCGGCTCGGCTCAGCTCATTTTATATTTTATAAAAATATTTTATTATATATTTTATAAATATTTTATTATAAAAATACTTAGAAAAAATATTTTATAAAAATAAAAATCATATATAATTTTTTTATTTTATATTTAAAAAATTAAGAATTATAATAATTAGTAATTATAATATTTTTATTATATATATTATTTTCTATAATTTTATTATATATATATATAAATATATATATTCGAGCTGGCTCGTGAGCCTTACGAGCTGAGCTCTAATAGGCTCGAGCTCGACTCGTTTAATCATCGAGCCACTGTATTGGGCTCAAGCTCGGCTCGTTGCCACCCTTACATTTACCCATAAGCTTAATTTTGCATTTAATCCCCCATTAGTTTCCTCATTTAAAATAATGTCATCAGTAAGCAATATACACCATGGGACCTTTAAATGAATATGCATAGTTAATTCGTCTAGGACTAGTGCAAATAAATAAGGGCCAAGTGATGAACCTCGATGAAGATCCATTGTAACTGTAAAATTTGACGTTTCTTCCATAGGTGTTTTAACATTATTTGTTGCACCCTCATACATATCTCCAATTAGGTCTATACCTATTTGAAACCTCCTTCTTTCAGACCCACCATATTATTTCTCTAGGAACTCTATCATATTGCAATCTCCCAAATGGGTGTATGTAAATATGTACATACTTCTTGTTCCTTGTTCCAATCAATAGAGCAGAGGGCGACGATGAGAGGAAGAGAAGAGAAGGAAGAAGAGAGAAAGAGATTGAGAGAAGACTCAAACTCATACTGGCGGCACCAGTATTTTTATCATATATACTAGGGCGAACATACAACTTAAAAGAGGAAGAAAAAGACCAAAATGCCCATTGCGGCATACACTAAATATTACATCACTCCCCCTCAAGTTGGGGCATAGATGTCAATCATCCCTAACTTGTCACATAGATCATAATGGCGCGAGGAATTCAATCCCTTAGTAAAGAGATCTACAAGTTGTTCTTCTGAGCTGATATAAGGGGTGCAAAGTTCTCCTTTCTCAAGCTTCTCTCTGATAAAATGCCTATCAACCTCAATATGCTTGGTTCTATCATAGAACTAGATTTGCACCAATGTTGGTAGTTGCTTTGTTGTCACAATAGAGTGATATAGGGTGTTTAGCTTGGAAACCCAATTCACTTAAAAGGTTTTTGATCCACGGTAGCTCTGCAACTCCATATGACATGGCCCTATATTCCGCCTTTGCATTGGATCAAGCAACCACAGTCTGTTTCTTAGCCCTCCAAGTAACAAGGTTTCCCCCCACAAAAAGTACAGTAACCACTCGTGGATTTCCTGTCATCTACCGAACTGGCCCAGTTAGCATCAGTGTAAATCTCAACTCTCATATGCCCATGTTTCTTGAACAATAGGCCTGTCCCTGAGAATTTCTTTAGATATCTCAGTACCTATCTGCCACTTCCATATGTGCTACCTTAGGAGCATGCATAAACTGGCTGAGAACCCCCACATCATATGCTATATCAGGCCTAGTCATGGATAAATAGAGCAGTCTCCCCACAAGTCTTTGGTACTGCTTTGGATCCTCCAAAAGTTCACCACCGCAGTCCCCAAGTTTATGATTCACATCTATAGGAGTATCGACAGGTTTGACCCCAAGTTTTCCGAGATGTAGGGTGTACTTTCTTTGAGAGATGAAGAAGTGAAGTTGTATGATTAACGAACGTAATTTAATTTAACGTCTTCTAAAAAATCCAGTACGGCATGGTATACCGTATACACATAAAATCCACGCAAGCAATTATTATCCAACAGTCATTAAAGGCCACGCTTCATTTTCTGAACGGCCGGGATTGATTGGTCCAGGTATTCCGGAAGTGCAAATGAAGAAGCAATTTGGGTGGGTTGGGCTGGGAAATTGTTAAATTTTGAATGGGCCCGAATTCTAAACTGGACCCAATGACATTGAGAGTTTGAAACAACCCGAGGCCTAATGATAGCAGTCGAAAAAGTACGTCGCTTTGTGTCGAACAAAGTGGGACAACGCTGGGGCCTGGGCCCTGGGGGGATAATTTGGCCGCTCCTCACGTTTGATAAACAAGTTCAAAACAAGACTCCCGCCGGCCCATGAGGTAAGCCCATGGTATCTGACTGTAATTCCTGGCCTCCCTGTAGACCCAGATAGGTACGATTATGATTTATGCCCTTTTCCAATGAATTTGTTGGTATCTAAGCAAAGTGAACTAAATCCTGGTAGGGCTGCAAGTGTGTGCTTTCCCGAATTCGGAGCAGGAATCGAATATGGATATAGTTTACATTCCAATTGGATGTATATGCATTCGTACGTGGAGCCAGGAATTTTCTCAAGGGATAATGGAGAATGGGACTAAGGCAAAATTTTCTCTATCGCATTCATGGGAAGTATTGTCCATTTCATCTCAAATCCAACCCAAATAGTTAGATTTGAAGTTTCCCTTCAAATT